TCAGCAAAGTTGGCATTGCCTCTAGATAGTTGGACCTGGCCCAAGAACAAGGTGCTATTAGGCAGCATCTTATAAAGAATGGATCACCAGGCAGCAGCAAGCTGTCCTACTGTTATTTTCCTGAATTCACATTCAGCTTGGCAAGTCTTCTGCAGAGCTCTCCAATCTAGTGACTCTAATTCAGGTGTCCTTAAGTCTCTTGGCTAAGGATCTTCCTTAGGATAGACATCACGGTGACATCTCCTAAGTGACACATTTGGAACAATCCCCACCTTATTGGAGCTTACCTTTCTAACTCTGTTTAACTTTCTAATCAGAATACATCCTGACTTTATTTAAATGTCTTTATACAGGCTGCCTCTCTCTTCTTCCAGAATGCATTTCCTGTAAGTCTCTGCTGCCAAAATCCTGTCCTACCTTAAATGCTCAATTCAAATGCTGCTGTCTCCAAGAAGCTGTTACTGATTCCCTTTTTGACCTCTCATTTCCTTCATTGAAAGTACTTGCTTTTGCTTTTTTGAAAAAATTTTTGCTCACTGTGACTTGTACTTTTCTCATAGTACCAACTACAGTCTATATTTTGTAAATATCTTCATTTCTCAGTATATTATAAATTCCAGTGAGACAAAAACTGTATCTACTTAATATTTGTATGCCCCATGGTGTCAAAATATACAATACATGCTCCATAAAATTCCGTTGAATTGAATTGGGATGTACATTCTCTGGAAGGAAAGGCACCAGAGAAGTCATATTTGACCCATTCATTTATTTCCTTTCCTCCTCTAGATTATAAACAGAGGTTAATTTTGGTAGTTGTGCAAAATTAAAGAAATGAAGTACAGGTAAGATTTGAATTTTAGAAATCTTTTAGGAAGAAATTCAGGTTAAGAAATCATGAGCACATAATCTCAGAGGTTATCTTCTCTTACCCTCGAATCAAAGTCAAACACTTCACATGGTGAGATCTTAAAATGAGGATTTCTTAATACACAGGAATTGGTGATAATATAGTAAGATAATTAACTTTCTATCACTTATTCAACCTTTCAATGAGATAGCTAAGAACTCTTGCATAAAGATTTTATCTGAGACTTGTCATTCTAACCTGTTTATCATTTTGTATACTTCCCGTTTCAACACTCCGTGTGGGTTATACCTAAATACTACTGTTAGTTTTCCTTCAGGTTTACATAAGTAGTTTGGACATTTTCCACCTAATGTAATTATTGAGTAGGTCGTTCTTACTTCCATCATTGATTTACAACATGTGGACATATGGGGGTTATTTTAATAGAGAAATAAGTAGAGGAGAAAGACAAGATAATATTTAGTTGTCATTGAGAGAAAATTATGAAATAAAAGTGAAAATAATATAATAATCACATGGGAGATAGTAGACAACTATTAAAGAATGTTTAGTAATACTATGGACAAAAAGATAAGGACATAAATTTGATTCTTAAAGGGAAAGGATAAAATAAAAGTTCAAAAATATTATCTCAAAGCAGATTATTACATTAAAGACAACATTTAAGCTGCAGTGGTAAGGGAAAATATTATCAAAATATGACTTAAGACTGTTAAAGAGGTAGTGTACTGGTATTTAGCAGATCAAGGAAATGAGTGAATATCCCACCCCATCTATTTTAATTTAATTTCTAAAATATAAAATAAGTAGTGCTTAAAGAACATTAGAAATGTATTACTGCATCTTTTGAGAATAAGATGGATCTCTGTAAGTTATAAGGAGAGATATTGAACAATTTTTTTTTAGTAAGTTAAATTCAGAGTCAGGCCAGCCTCACTTGATTAACCACCCTGAGAGTGGCTACTAGCAATTGCAGTATTACCTTTTCATCTAATCTTTGAAGAAGGCAGTACAATTGCATTTATTTAATATAAATGAAGCAAGTCAGACATTTTAAAATGTATTATTTATTTATTAGCCATATTGCTGTTACTTAACTTCTCCTTCCCCTTTGCTTTATGATACTGGCTTCTGAAATTATTAGGCTTTCATGCCTTTATATGTGTATGTTAACCCATATGTATGGATGTAATATTTAAATATATTTTTAATATTACTAGAACTTATGTAACCATTTCTAAGAAGCCAATTGATAATACTGTTAATTTATATATGCAAAACTTTATGATATAAAGGAATTCAATACAGTCTACATAATTGCTTCCAGGTGAAAATATACCAAGCTCACTTAAAATTTCTAATGTGCCATAATATTTTTTAGAGCCCATACCACCCATGTTGTGAAATATCTTTAAAATGGCAATGAAAAATTGAAGGCAATCCTGGAGAAACAATCCTGACCATTAAGAACCATTAACATAAAGATGATCTAAAGTATATGATGTAACAGTGAATTTTAAAAGACAATCGTATTAGTGGAATAATTTTGAAAACGATTTCAAATGTTACATTGAAGATACTAGAGGGGTAAGATTTTAAATATGGCAGGATTGCAGAATTCACAAAGTCTATGATAACAGGAGGAATTGAACTTTTAGTTCAAGTCTGAGTACAAGGCTTCCCAACTAGTTGCCCTTGGATAAGTCCATTGACCTCTTTGAGCTTTAGAATTCTTACTTCTGTAACGTCTTATCAATTTGTGAAAGTGTTCTGTGAATTGAAATATGCTCTATAAGCAGAGTTTATTAGTATTAATTTAGATTCTGAATTATCCTTAGGAAAGTAAGCATAGTCTTCATATAAGCAGTGCTGAATGCCATTTTTTTGAACAAAATATAGTAATAATCTATTTGAAGTTAATTTAAAAGAGGTTTAAAATTTGGTTATTTTTCCTTACAATCTTTGGAATATGTTACAAAGTAATTTGAATTACATAACTTCAGAAAGCTTTATTTTAAAATATGAATCATAATCAAAATTTAGTTTGATTATTACAAATAATGTGTATAAGAAAAGGAGAGTGGAACAAATAACATATCATTCCTGTCAAAGTGAGATGCTTCATTTTGTAAGAGAAAAAGTAGAGCAACTAATTAGAGCTAATGAACGGTAAGTTGACCTGTGTAATACATAGTTTGTAAAAGCTCACTAGTATCTTCCCTCCTTTACTTATTCCTTGCAGTAAAATACTTATTGCCATAGTTTGACCAAAACCTAAGTTATTTTTTGATAACTCTTTCTGAAATATTTAAAATGAGGAACATTAAAAGAAGCTGCACCCTCCTTTAGGAATACTGAGAATTTGATCCCTAAGGTAGAATAGATTTCTTAAAATATCATTAGTGTCTAAAATGAACAGAAAATGATACATGCTATTGGTGAGCCGAATGCATCCACCTCCAAAAGCAGGTAATAAAGAGCTTTAAGATGGTCTTTTAGCTGGCTGATCTATTTGTATGTGCCTTATTGATGCTATACTAATCTTTACAAATTAATTTTCTTCATATTCTACAAAGAATGATGTTATTGCCAAATAATTGTATCTAGTGACTATACCTACTTAGGTAAATATTATATGGAGGACTTTAACATTTCATTGATATGGAGTAAGCCTGTGATATATGTCCCTTCCACAGTTCCTCCTAATTGTAGCATAGCCAGACAGGGAGCTTCATTTGAATGACTCAGTTCTCAGGGAGTACTGAGTCCCTGAAGTACTTTTATTGAAGGCTCAGTGATCTTCAATAAATAAAGAAAAAAGGTTGACCAGTACCACCCTGGTCAGATTGTTCAGGTAACTCATTTAACAGCTTGGTCTACTTGAGAGCAGTGAAGGAACGACATGGTAAGCATATGGTTTTTGCTATTCTTAAAAGTAAAGTTATTTTTATTATGTAATGAAATTACTTGTATTAAGTAGTAATGTCAAGGTAGCATAAGGTCAATTTCTATGTTAGTAAATATCACCAAGCAAAAACTATACATATTCTAAGAGCAAAATGTAATTGGCTTAGCACTTCTTTGTACCCTAGGATCCTTGTATAGTACCTAGTGCGTAAATGGTCTTCAATAAAAAAAGAAAAAGCAAGCAAATAAATGAACAAAAGAATAAATATGCAAGTTATTTAATCTATAACAATAAATATAACCCATAAAGATCTTCTTAGATATGAAAAAGCAATGCACTCTTCATGATATGTGTTACGCTGCTGGAAGAAAAGTAAAATTAAAAAAAAAAAATAAAGTCCGAACAAAAAGAATATTACACTGGTTTGAAATTTAGAAGATGTCACTCAGTTAGTGAAATGGCAGATACATGGGATGTGTGGATTAACTGAGAAAAAATGCAAACAACCAAATCTAATTTATAAAGAGTAATGCGTATTAGAATGTACCTAATTGCTTCTCCAACAAGATAGTAACCCTGACACCATTCCTTTTTAGTGTTTACTCCTGAGGCATCATAGCCCAAAGCAAACACATAGTATGAATGCAATAGATGCTTATTAAATGGGGAGAAAAGGAGATTTATTATTGTAAAATATCAAGATAAATATGTGTTTACTTTAAAATACCATTTATGCATATTGTATATATTGGATTCTGTACTATATGGAGTTTCAGGCATTTACTAGGGGTCTCAGATCGTTTCCCCTGCAGATGAGGGAGGAGTATTCTATTTCCTTTCATCAGTCATGTAAGATTATGACAGGACTTATAAAGTTACTTTTCTGAAATTCTCTGGGATCTTATGCCAAATTATCTTTATACTAATTGCAAATATTAAAAACCACAAATATCATTAGACTATGAACCCTTGGTAATTATTTAACTAGTCAATTTATCTAAGCTATGTGAAAGATTGCGAATCTACTTCTATTGAGAAACTAGTGATATTATCAAGTATTTTTTTTTTTAAGTCTTATTTTACTGTCAAGCAGATAACTAGCAAAATGAGTTGTGATGCCACAGTTTGCTTTTCTAAAATAATCACGATCAGGGTCCCTGTGATATGCAGTGTGTAACACATCCCTTCTGTGTTAATGAATTCAAGGGAAGGCAACACCACTATTAGTAATAGGTTTTTATTCAGAGTCCTCATTTTCCAGATAGGTCACATTAAACACAGCCATTAAACAATAGCGTTGAGATAAATCCATACAATGTATGCTGCTTTTGTTGTTATTCTTGTTCACCAATCACTTGGTGCAGCTAAGAACCTTATGGAGTGATGGGTTGATAATGGAAATAGCCAACCTGCAAAACACTGGGGCCAGGAAAGTCAGACTTTAATCAGGTCTCATTCAATTATATTTCGAATCAACACATCTTGATAGCCAAAACTCTCATTTGCATTAATGCTCTGATAAATGCTGTCTGTTGTCAAAAGAATATAATCAGACAATTATGACTGGGCATATATTATGCCAGACCTGTGTATTTGTTGAACTCAGTAACTTCTACTCTATTAGATAACAAACAGCTTTTAACCTGGTTCTAAAATAGCATATGCTCTATTACTACATGGCTTTTTTTATGGTGCCATATTTTAAATTGAGCAATGTCTAGATCCTTTAAAGAGAAGTCATGTTTTACAAGATTTCAGCTAATTTTGGAAAACAAAACAAGTTAGTTTCTCAACCAGGAATTCAATTAACCTATGGAGTAGTGAGCCAATCTTTGTCTATTGCCTGCAATAAAGTTAGAAGTGTCAGGTTAAGAAATAGCATGAAAGAATTCTTTGAAATTGCATGATATGTCTCTTTAATGTTTACTTTGGTATAGGTATAACTAACACAGATTCTCACTACTTTTAACTGATGAAAAAGTTATTTTGTTGCTGATTTTTTTTTTTAATTCATCTGTATGCAATTTTTAGAAGTTTGGGTTTCTTACTGAAATTTCCATGAAGTGATTTTTTTTTTTCTGTGCTTAACTTCAGTTACTTAAAGACCTAAAAGAACTAAAGTAGTATCACATCACATATTTTGTATGTGTGGGATATTTTTGAGGGGTTAGTACTTGAAAGATGTGAACTGATATTTTTTTCACATTCTAAATTATGCTAAAACCCCTTCAAATCTCACTGTTTGCTCATGCATCACCTATTAGAGCAAGTTGTTCCCTAAAGGTGTGATTTTGGCATCTCATAGGCTTCCTTGAAAGCCAAGCACCAGAGGTCTGCGATAAAGGCAGTTGCCAGCTAAATGAATGAAAGCGAGATTTCTTCAATTCAACTATAAAAGCTTAGAGTCCTGACTGCTGTATTACCACCAACTTGTAAATAAATAATCACTACTAAATACAGATAATGTGTTAAACAGCTAACACTAGTAAATCACTGGTGACAGAGAGCCTAAAGGTAAATCCCTCACACATTGGCACAACCAATTCTTAAAATCTTATGGTGTTTTAATGTCCTCAGACACATATAATAAATTGAACAACTGGTTACTTAGCATTAAGAATGTTTAAAAAATAAACCCTACTCTCTTTGCTGATTTCATTTACATACTGCTTTAGATTTTACTAAGTGGTTATCTGTCTAGTAAGAGAGAGGCAACACTTGGTAAGACTAAATGGAAATCAGTTTTCCATCAAATTTCAGCTATCAAGCTAAATCAACCTGTAGTCTCCTGGCAAAAATAACGTCATATAACAGAGACAACACATTTCAGATACATAAATTGTCCAAAATATAGAGAGTCAATTAGGTTTCACATGTACAAGATCCCTTCTTTTCTAATTTAAACATTTATGAGTAATAAACACCAAGAGTAGAGCTTTGGAAAGGCTGTTACTAGGAACCAAAATATAGTTCTCAAGAGAATAAGGCTGATGGGAGTTGTCCACTCTTCTCTCTCAAAGCAGTTCTGCAAACGAGGTACAGTCTAAAATATTGATGGCATTTGATGGAAGTATTTTCAGTAGAAGTTTTTAAAGTTTAAAATTACAAAACTTAATTTAATTCAATGTTTGTTTTTGCTTTTGTTTTTGTTTTAAATATAAGAATTTTTATGACATTTATGCTGTTTCTACACTGGCTTGGTGGCCAGAAGAGAAGGCACAAAATTCTCCACCAGTTTGCAAATAATGCATTTTTCTGCTCCAGTGCTCAAACAGCCTTTATTTAACTCAGCACCACATTTTCTAAGGTATGGGCACAAAACTGTTTGTCATGAAGCTGTAAAATGCCAAAAATTTTAAATGCTGAAAGAAAATGTCAATCAAGGCATTTTCCCATCTGCTGCTACTTCTGCAAGTGCTAATTTTATTTTTCCCAATTCCTGAAATTTGAGGTTTCTTAGCCTCATATGGAATTAAGTTTGAAACTCGCTAAATGTCACAAGAAAAGGTGTAACCAAATGAAGGAATAGAAGGTGTATTGTTCTCAAAGGACACCAACAAAAAAGAGGCAGAAGAGCACTGAGATAAAGGAAAACATTTTGTTAAGACACAGACCTCTTGAAAAACACTACACAATGCAAGTAACCACTGCTGGTACATACATGCATTAAAGCATTTTTCATGTTTTTGAAATTTAATGGGAACACACATCTGAACCACTTAAAATACTTTGAGAACCAACTGATGGTATAATATCTACATAGGCAGAAGCTGTATGTTATTGAAAAAACATGAAGAGTTTCAGATATTGGTACAAATGTTAATTCTTGTGATTTAGCATGACTTTAATAAAATCTTCTACAAGGACTTGCACATAACCATGACTGATGGATGTATTTTTTGACCTTTCAGTTAGCTCCATCAGCTCACTCAAACACATTTTGAACAGATTATGTACTGTAGTACTTGGTAGACTATACATTAAACAAGAGACTTTGCTCTGAGGCACTGCTTCCCACACTCCATGGGGAAAAGGAAGCAGGAAAAAACAAAACTCATAGAGTTCGACAGCTACCGAGGCAACACTTGCCATTTACAATATAAGCCCAAATATTTTTGCAACACAACTATATATTAATTTAATAAAATACACAATATAGCTCTTATACACTCAACAATTTGGCTCATATGCACTGAATCTGCAATAAATCAATAAAAAATATGTCATTTGATGTAAACACATTGAATCTTCTTACATTTGCACATTTAAATGGTCATGTGACTTGTGTATGTCTAAGACATTTTCACTCTCCTGAGCTATTTTAGTGTCCACAAATGAATAAAACATATTAATCCAGTTAATTTTCTCTGAATCTTACCACTCAATGGTAACTAATTTTTAGAACTTTTCTATGTCAAATTTAAAACATACTCATCATTGTTTAAATCTTTGTTGGACACTAAAATGCTAAATAGGCATTTTAAATCTTTAAATTTTCTTCTCCTTTAATGACGTGAATTAGTCTACGTGTGTGCAGGACAAAATGGACTATATCTTTTTACATTTAACTTTTATACGACATGAGATGTCTTACAAATGACCAAAGGTTTTTTTTTTGTTGTTGTTTTTATTTTTGTTTTTGACTAATGATATGGAATGTTCCTTGTGTTTATATGTGTGTCAGGTAACTTTATACAGAAATGTTTACCACAAATACGTGTTAATGTTTGGTGTAGCTTGGACTACTGCAAGGTCTTTTCAGGACTTTCAGTAGAAGCCTGTGATGACTGCTAGAAATCCACCACAGATCACAAATTATGACCCTGCTTTGTATGGGGTTTATAGGTAAACAGTTAAGTCAGCATAAATCACGGAGGACAGTCTGAGAGTGATCAGAAATACTTCATTTCTCACACTGCATACCTTCCTAACAGATTGTCAAAAGGTAATTCTTCTTATCCTCCTTTTTCTTCTCTCCTTTTTCTTCCCTTTTTTCTTTTCTCTTTAAGCATCAATAATTCTGTCCTAATATAAGTTTGGTCAAAACGAAACCATTGTTATCTCTGAAAAAGAAACAGCAGTGGGAAGAACATACTTGTGGGCACTTCAGATGTTCACTAAAAGCCTTAAAGCAGCATTGGTCTTTCTTCATCCCTGTAAAATGGGTTATCACCAGGAGGAATCATCTTTAAATCAACAGAAGAGACAAGAAAATGCCAATGCCTTTTTTTTTTTTTTTTTTTTTTTCACTTTCTCACAGCCACAGGGTCGTTTCCCCGGCAGTCTTGCAAAAGCTTATCAATTTCTCTCACAACTTCCTCTGCATCCACGGACTCTCTGCCCAGATCCCTGTTGGGGTGGTCAAGCTGCTCAAGAACAGCACCCATCTCACTGGAATCCCGGCTGGCTCTGGAATGCACATCCGCAAAGACCCTTGCCATTTGATCAGAAGCCATGAAGGGAGGGTCTCTTGGTTGCTTACTAGGCGACAGATACTGACTGTCAGTGGGCAAGTACTGACTGCTTGCTTCAGCCAGGGCTCCTGGTTTTGCTTCAGAGCTATCCAGGGAGCCTTTTGTTGAGGTGCAAGGCTCGATGCATGCCTTGGTTGGGCTGCTTGATGCTGAGGGGACCTCTTGGAGGAGAGGGCTCAGGGCACGTTTGGCTTTTAAATAAGGTTTAACGTTGGCAATGAGAATAGTGTGCTCTCGCTTGTCTTTTCCAAATGTACAAAAAGTCTTTTTCCCAGTGGGATTCACAGTTTCGTAAGTCTCAGTCTCAACATTAGCTTCAACTGTAGGTACAAAGAGATTTGTGCGGTAATCTGCATTTTCAGCCTGATTGGCTGCAGGGAACTGTGGCATCCAGCACCTGTCAGAATGACCAAGCACTCGGCATTCATCTGTGCAATTAACACACTCTTCTGGTTCTGCAAAACAAAAGAGAAAACAGCAAATCCAATCATTAGGGTTTTCTTTAAATTTCTACAGAGGCTGTGATCAGCTCTCAATGGGTTTGCTTGACCTCTGGTCTCTTAATTAAAAAGGAAAAGAAAACAATAATTAAAACATTTCAGGATGGTTGCATAAACCTGCTGGTTGAGACAATGGTTTAATTTAAGTCTATTCTCTAGATATTAACGAATTCCCATAGCCTGGGAAGAAGTAAGAGGTGGCCATTGGAGAATCATTCTCAGTAGAACGGAGCATCACTGTAAACTAAACTCCTGGGGATATCAGTTAGTCTTTGTTCTCTATAACTCATCCTAGAAACAGTGAACTTCAAAAAAGATTATCAGCATTATTTTTTTCAAATCAAATAACAGGGCAAAAACTGGATTGCAAACTTCCATAACAAATTCTAAGCTGCTCTTTAAAAAATGTTTTATCACTATTTTGCTTGTAATTGCTATTTGGATGACAGTCATGAAATAAAAGGTTTCCTTTAAATGCTTACTTTTCCTACTCAGAGTGGCAAATGGAATTTTTTATCAGAATGTTTTATGAATAAACTTGTCAAAAAGTGCACATTCCTATTTTATTAGATAGGCTTACGGATCATGTAATCAGTTTTCTGTTCAGCTTTTTGTTTTTGGGTGTAAGTAGGTGAAAATGCATTTACGCAACAGATATAGTTCAAAATGAATGACAAATCATGATTTTCCATTTTAAATAATAATGCTTTCTGTGGGAATTTTTACTTTTTTCCTTTGCTAATAGAGAATCTAAATAAAGCATTCTTTTAATGATCTCTACTTCACAGATGCTGAACATGGAATATGAAAAAAAAAAATCCTTAATTATAGAACAGCTGCATACTTCCATTGACCCCAATATTTTAAACCATAACTTTGAGCTACATCTTCCCAGTTGTCCCTTTCTTCTATAAATGGTTGTGCCTATTGTAGTTAATGACTGTTTTTAAATCAGAGACTTTTACTTTTAGGAGAGGATATTTACAGTTTACTTTTACGTAATGGAAATAGAAGTGCCTACAGTTTTAGGCGCCCTTGGGATTTGCCATTTAATTGATGCTGGTTGATCCCCATGAATTTAGAGTGTCCTGTGCAAGAAAAGACTTCCACATGAAAGATGTATTTAAAATAGCAGCAAATGTAACAGCATTGATAAATTTGTATATCACTTCTCAAAGCTATATATGAAACCTAAAATTATACTTAAAACATGTAAATAATTATTTACATTAAAAGGCCCACAATCTGTTTTATCTCGAAAGGTTTTAAGATAAAATAAAACTTTTCTTAAGAGATTGAAATTTTGTAGAAAGAAATCAAATGGTGTCTTGACAGAACAAAGATACTATACTATTTATTCACACCTGCGAAACATAAAAAAAAAAAATAGGTATCTTTCTTCTATTTTAATTTTGTCATTTTTTAAAAGAAATGTTTTCTTATGAGTAAATTAAATATTCACTGTTAAATTTATTATGCAGGAAAGAATGCTGAAAAGTAGTCTCACAGGGCATCTACAGACCCAAATACTATCTACAAATTGAAAGACTGTTAGACAGACATGAAGAGCAGCAGAAACTAGGCATTAATTTTATTCAGAAGCCTCCATTTATGTATTTAAATTAAAGCTGAAATTTTTTAAAAGGGGGTATCAGAAATTCAATATTGGCCCAGCATGGTGGCTTATGCCTATAATCCCAGCACTTTGGGAGTCTGAGGCAGGAGGATTACTTGAGCCCAGGAGTTTGAGACTAGCCTGGGCAACATAGCAAGATGCCCTTCTACAAAAATAAAAATAAATAAATAAATTAGCCAGGCGAGGTGGTGCGTGCTTCCCATCCCAGCTACTCGGGAGGCTGAGGCAGGAAGATGGCTTGAGCTCAGGAAGTCAAGGTTGCAGTAAGCTATAATCATGCCATTTCACTCCAGCCTGAGTGACAGGGTTAAACCTTGTCTCAAAATAAATAAGTAAATAAATACGTAGAAAAGCAAAAAGAAAGGTTCAATATCAGGTATGAGTCTATGTTTCCTTTACCTACTCTAAATGGGAATCACAAATATTACCTTATTTATATCTGTCAGTAAATGTTAGATAAAATAGCATAATATCATTTCAATAAATAGATAACTTTCAACAAATTTTATCTTTCAAAAAGAAGGAAAATTAGAAAACTTTATAATCTATCTCACTCAGTAATACTTTGTATCATTTATTTTTTTAAAATTCATTTATAACTCATACATTGTCTTCAAAATATGCTAATGTAGCTTCATATTTCATATTGACCAGCCTTTCATTGTAGCTATTTGGATAGCTAACACTGAATGAATTCAATATGAATTTAAAAGAGAGAAAAAGAGAATAATGCAGACGTATGAAAGTGTAAATCGACCTTGAATTTGAAACCAACAACATAAAATTACTGTTTGCTTGTCACTGCTGAAAATCTGCAGCATTTTACTTAACTCCTTTATATCACATTGTGGGGAGTACATTTTGAGTATTGATTATGATACATTACAAGCTGTTCACCTTGTGATTAGACTATAATTTTGATGGCAGCAGTTCACAGGCAGTGAAGAAAATTGAATGGACACCTTTGTACAAATAGCAGAAACTATGAGCACGAAGTGAACTCTAACTGTTAAGGGTCAAGTTAGAATTTGTGAGAGAGGGAAATCATTTTTGAAGAAACATAAATAGATGAATAGGTAAATACAGAAAGAAGAGACAGATAATATACAATGAATGACTGGTTGGACAAAAAAAAAGACAAATGGAAAAAAGGAAGAAAGTAGAAAGGGAAGAAGCAAAACAAAGTGAAGGGAAGGAGGGAAAGAAGAATGAGAGGGACTCAAGGGCTGCCGGGAGATGAAGGTAGAGTGGAGTGTGGAGGGAGAAGGAGGGAAAGCTGCCACAAAGACAGGGTTTGTTTAAGACAAGAAAAGTTGTATTAGCAGTATTTCTGCCATGTGTACCTTCTACCTTTTTAAATGCCCTCAATAAGTTAAGTGTGTATAATAAAAAATAATATTGAGGAGTATTTACTTAAGCCCTACAGTTCTAAGGTAGATGGTCAAACTGCTCTCTGTACTTTAAGGGGAATGGATTCTGGAATAGATATGTTGAATTATAAGCTATGGAAATGAAAACAAAAGCAAATTATTTAGATAGCCACCATTTCATATATTCAATATATACACCAGAAAACAAGTCCAGAAACCCTGAACAGAAGAAATCAAATCAAAAATAGTTGACCCAATATTCACTTTTTTCTTCAGGTTCAATCTGGGATTACCAAGAGATTATTTAGTTTTATTTTCCTACTCTCCTCAATATAACATGATCACCCCTTCACAGAATGCATCCCTTGCCAAGAAACATAACAAAATCTAAATAGTATGCAGATGAGAGATACTCACAGATAAGCATGTTTATATTGCAGAAGGAAAACAATTCTAAAGTACACAAGATGGAACTGTGGGTAGTTCTGCGTATATTAGTCACTGTAAACTATAGTGTTTACAGTTATAAACTATTAGTTTATAGTGTCTAATCTTTTAAAAGCATGATTCCCTGAAATATCATGTGACATTCAATAACTTTAAACCCTTTTTTAGTATTAAGAATCACTTTCTATACTTCTGTTGCTGCATCTGACTATTATGCAGGCCTCAAAGGGAAGTATCTAAATGCAGTAGCCTTAATTAGTTCAATTGTGCCTCTTAATTTATATGACATTTCTGCAAAACAGATGAAGTAACTCAAAAGACTATAGTACTTGCAGTTTACCTGCACCGTAAACCATACACACACATGCACACATATTCATATTGTATACAAACCTTTATTTTTATGTTTGTGATAAAACTTAGCTTTTTCCAAGACAGTCTAAAAATTCATTAATAAAATAGAAAATCTTAAATCCATAACCTATGCATTTATGAACATTGCTAGCAATTGCCATATGAGAAATACAGGTGAATCCCAGGAATTTCTAAATTCATAATATAAGAGATACAAAAATAAGACAATATTTTATTATTGTAAATAAAATAATATTTTATATATTTGCTTATATATTAACAAAGTTTATATATGTAAATGTACACATATACATATACATCTTTCAGACTAAAAGCATTAATAAGCAACATTTTAATCTTCCCGTTTGCCACAAGCCTGGGTGCAAAATCTATGATTAGATCAACACTTTAACTGTCTCTGATTTTGAATTTCATGTAATTAAAATGGATTTGGACATAAAGATACCTGAAATCTGCATATTCATATTGGCTGATAATATTTGAAAGCTCTCTTTCTCTTTTTTAACCTACACTAAGCAGTTTAACAGCGTAATCTTAAGGATATCAAGCAAGCAATCATTTTGTGACAAAATATACCTTCAGAGGAATTAAGCCATTGTGAAATTATTCTAAATTATATCTATGTGAGGAAAAAATACTTAGATAAAAACGTCAAATTATCTGCTTTTAAATTTTTTTGTTTTGTTTTGTTTTGTTTTGTTTTGAGACAGAGTCGCACTGCAGCCCAGACTGGAGTGCAGTGGTGCGATCTCGGCTCACTGCAACCTCCGCCTCCCGGGTTCACAGCATCCTCCTGCCTCAGCTTCCCGAGTAGCTGAGACTACAGGCGCATGCCACCAGGCCCGGGTAATTTTTTTTGTATTTTTAGTAGACACGGGGTTTCACCGTGTTAGCCAGGATGGTCTCGCTCTCCTGACCTTGTGGTCCGCCCACCTCGGCCTCCCAAAGTCCTGGGATTACAGGCGTGAGCCACCGCGCCTGGTCAATTGTTGGGTTTTAATAGTCTCCCACAAATGTTATATAATTTAATTTTACAATGTGTTTTAATTGTATAATGTCGCTATATCACAGGAGTGCATAACCATTTCAATGATGCCAAAAATTACCATGTATAAGATGGAAAGTTG